CATCTGTTTTTTGCACTTCAAGAATGTATTCAAATGCACCCTTGATGTACACTACAAGGTGCTTTGGTAATATGGGGTTCTGGGCTTAATGATTTCCGCTATTTGGACCCTGTGCAACCATTGTGGGAACTTGGTTTTGTACTGCTGGCAAAGAGTAAGACTTGTTTGCTGAGTGTACTGGACTCCAGTCTTTGTCACCAGTTTTAGTCATAATTTATGGATCAAATTTCTAGGCACAGCTAAGAGGTTGGATTCAATTTTCTCTGCATCTGATTGCTTTTTCCAGTTGGTGTGATTCTCTTGGCTTGATGAAGCATTTAGATTACTCTGGGGTTTCTGCAGCCAAAAGTAGCGCTACTAAGATGTGGATTGGAACTTCTGAGTCTGAGGCCATGGTTCTCAGTTGGAAAAGGTTGCAGTACCACCTCCAGGTTGTGAATGAATTTCTGCCCCAAGTGAATACATTCAAGTATCTTCGTGTCTTTCTAGAAAGAGCCTAGAAACCCACTTTATACTCAGTAGCAAATAGCAGTAAGATAAGAAGCTACAAGGCTGTTTCTGAACAAGTCTTAAATAACAATTTTCAGTACCTGCTGTACATTGAAACAGAGGCGATACAAAATGAAAATATAGGTTTTAGATTTATCAAGTGACCAAAAACTAATTTAAAAATATGCTAATTGTGTTAATTTTAAACACCTTTAAAATGTGGATAATAAAGAAAGGAAGCTCGATGTAGTAGACTGTCCATTCAAAAACATTAAATAGTTGGATAAATGAGCAATGTTGGCTGACAGTGAGGTAATATGTTTTCATGGATTCTGAGTGTTCTCCGAGGGAAACAAGAACATTACTTTCAGTTTTAGAACCAGAGAGAAGATGACTGCAAATCTGGAATCAGAGAAAAATAAATTCACACGATAGACTTTGATATGTTGTTTTTCTACACTGAACTGAAGTTGGAGCTGTCAACTTTACAACTTTATAACAGGAAAGCTGAAGCTTTCATCATGATCAGGTTCGTATAGTGATCATCATCCATTTCCAAATAAAGCTGGTCTACAGCAAACACTTATTTTATCAGCACAATGAAAGAGAAATCACAAAATAAACGATTTAGAATAACTTGACTAAATACAGGCTGCAAAGGCTTTATGTTCTCTCTATAAGTGAATTTGCTTTTAAAGTAATAAGAGAGCACTGATGTCTTACAGTCATCCTGCTGCGATGTATGGAGGAGAGAGTGGGCAGTGAGCAGCTATATTTGGAGCTCTGACTAAGAGCTTGCGAGAGATGTCCCTCCACATTTTCTCTGTTACTTAATGTTCAGCTCTGAAATCACTCTGACCTAAGCAACTTTCCCAGTTCTAATTACAAAATGTATCTTACAAATATTTCTGGCTTCATTAGAAATGCTTTTGATTCCTTCATATCTCCACAGTTGTCTTGAACTAAATGATTTCCAAAGCAATGTTACGTTTCTTCGTATGAAACAAGAACACGATTCAACCAGTAAAACTGCAGCTTTAACATGTTAATGCTGACAGAGCTGATGGAACAAACAAGGGCAAACAACTACTATGAAAAACACAATTGCTGATTGACTGCAATGATTCAAAATGACCAACAGAATATCACCGAGAGGCTGATAAACATCAT